CATCAGTTCTGACCAGTCCTAAAAATAGAACAGACCTCAGCCTTGGGGGAGGTCATGCTGGAGACAAGAGAGTAGATGAGTTGACCTTTGGATGGAATTCCATTGCAAAGTCTTCTTATTCCCTCATCACTTTTATTCATACACTTTCCACTGGTAGCAGCCTTTCAGAGCCCAGTTTGTGGAAGAGGAGGGTATATCAGGACTAAGATGTCTTACAGGAAGGAGACAATGGGAAAAATACCTCATTCTGAGTACTGACTATGGATCTTAACACATTACCTATGTTGTTTTATTTAGTCCTCATAACAACCCTATTGATGCATTTTCCCCATTTCTGCAGATGAGAAAAAAGGCTCAGAGATGTTAAGTGTCTTATCCAAGTTTGCAAAAACTATTAAATATCGGAGCTGAGACTTTAAATCAGACCATTCCAACTGCAAAGCTCCTGATCTTAACCTGTAAATTATACAGCCTCTAGCAAGATAAAAAAGGGAAACAAGGGATTTTAATTTTCCTTCTCTTCCTACTCCACTGAGGCCAAGTTCTATACAGCAGCCAGCCAAGCTGAAGGCCAGGCAGTTCTCCATTGAATCAAACCACCAGCTAAATAGACTTAGACCCCCCAGGATCCTTGCACTTTCCCTCCTTCCTCATAAGCTCAGGCAAAAGTTGATGAAGGAGTTTTGAATTACAATAAAACTTCAACTAAACAGATGCCCAGGTAGAAGGTTATAGTGGTGTTTTTAGTTTTTGTTTTTAGATTTTTTTATTGGGGAATTGGGGAAGGGGAACAGTGTTGAAGAATTAGGGAAGGGGAATAGCCAAGTTGTTGTCCTTCAATCTTAGTTGTGGAGGGCACCGCTGGCTCAGCTCCAAGTCCAGTCACCATCCAGCTGCCCGTGGGCAGCTCGGGGCCGTTCAGCTCAAGGTGCCGTGTTCAATCTTAGTTGCGGATGGGCATAGCCCACCATCCCATGCGGGATTCCAACCCGCAACCTTGTTGTTAGGAGCAGCTCAGCTTGGGCGCAGCTCACTGGCCCATGTGAGAATAGAACTGGCGACCCTGTTGCTCAGAGTTCACGCTCTTAACTAACTGAGCCACTCGGGTGGCCCTAGAGTGGTGTTTTGAGTATTCTAATTGTTAATAGAATGTTGCAACTCATTTTGTTCCAACTCCTCATTTGGAAAATAGTTTTAAATTTTAAAGGTAAAGTTTCCTATCATGATAGATAAATCAAGGACTCCTACCTTTAGGGAGAAGAAGCTACTTTGCATGTCCCCAAAACCTTGTGATGAATGGGGAATTAATATTTTCAGGGAGAGGTGCAGGCAGTGAAGCCCCTGAATAGAAAAAGTAGTCTCCACCGCAGTTGACAACTCCAGGTTGCCACAGGAGGCTGCACCAGGCTGTCACGCTCAGATCTTTACCCCACTAGAGACCGTTGGGAGAAGATACATACAGCAGATCTGTTGTGCCTTTTTTTAGTGGCAAAGGATCTTATAATGCTTCTACTAGATCATTATTGCAGATATCTACCAGCTAGATACAGATGATGTCAAAAAT